CCTTCACAGGACAATCGCAAACGTACACTGTAGTGAAACAAATTCATTTTCCCGTATTTGCATGTGATTGTAAAAGTCCGAGCTCAATCATGATGTTGGCGATTATTCCAAATTTGTTACGTTGAAAGTCGCTGTAATATATTTTCCTGACTGGAAACAGTCGTACAACATAAATTCTTACAATCGCTTCGTAATAAATTGTCAGCTGAGGGTTAATTTATTTCGCGGTGTGTAACTGTAATGCAATTACATATACTAGTGTTTTTTTTTGGGGGGGGCAGTTCTTGCTTTTCTTCTGGTAGGAAATTCACCCCTTCTCCACTCACAACAAGGTTTTTTTTTCGCGGAAATCCACTTGGGTGGCACGTGTTCGATTTGTTGGGAAGTACTAAACAACTTTGACATCATGAAATTTGATGGCGACGGAACACCCAGGGGTGTATAATAATACCGGTTGCAGATTTTTTCGAGTAAAAATCTTTAGATATATCTTCATGTTTTGGTATGTTATGGGTAAAAACACGGATAGACTTGTAACATTGCGGAGAAACGACTCTAAAACATGTTACAGCTCGAGTCTAGAACGACGCAGTATAGCAACAGCATCTGTACTCACGCCGAACGAAGTGTATTTCGAAAAAAAGTAAACGAAAAAAAAAGCATTCATTAGCAACTTCATATTATTTCCAGAAAAAAGTGAGCGTTTTAAAACTTTAACAGGGCTCGTCCGGAACTTGAACCCGGGAGCTCTCGCATCCTAAGAATCATACCTCTAGACCAAAGAGAGCCTCTGGCCATGGTTTTATGGAGAACACCGCTGAATTAAATATATAGACCAAGTCTTTGAAATATGATCCCAATTTTAGACTAAGTAGCTTTAAACTTACGTCTTTTTTTTTTTTTTTTTTTTTTGGTAACTTTTATCTTGATATTGATACAAAACAATTGTTTTGATTGCTTTGATTACGTTTTTGTTGCCTCACTACAATTCAGTTTATTTAAAGTAATAATAATTAACCCACAGACACGACCAATCACCCAATCAATGTATTAAACCTCGGGCATAGACGTAGCACACAGGTTGTTAGTACAGCCTAGTATGATTACTGATTAATCTATATACACACACTGTACATACATTTGAAACAGATTACTAGTAAACCACAAAACCACGGAACAGAAGTAACAGGGAGAATAAAAGCACAGCCTTTACGGTAGACTAAATTCATTACAAATGCAATCGAAAAAAAAAACGGTATTTTAACATGGATAGTGGTAATAATGATAATAATGAATCAATCAAATTAAACAAGCAGCCTGTCGGCCGAGATAGCTCCGCTGTTAGCATTGCACATTTCATTTCCAGAAGTCGAAAATATCACCTTTTATCAAAAATTACAAAAATAATCACAAAAATTAGAGAATTAAAGATATCATTACAAAATGAACAAATCTGAGAGAGATCCACATGTAGTACCCATATATGTAATATCAAAGCAGTTAGACTTGCGGTTTTTAACAAGAAGTTGAAAATATCACTTTTTACCAAAAATTACAAAAAATATTCATCAAAATTGGAGAATTGAATATATCATAATAAAAAGGAACAAATCTGAGAGAGGTCCACATGTAGTATCTATATAATATCAAAGCAATTGGACTTGCGGTTTTTAACAAGAAGTCGAAAATATCACTTTTTACCAAAAATGACAAAAATATTCACTAAAATTAGAGAATTAAAGATATCATCATGAAATGAACAAATCTAAGAGAGGCCTACCCCGGGTACATTAACACCAAGTATCAAAGCATTCAGGCTTGTAGTTTTCAAGAAGAAGTCGAAAAAGTAAAACATTGACACGGATGACGGACGACGGACGGCGGACGCCGACGGACAATCACTCATATGATAAGCTCCGCTCGACACAGTCGACGGCAGAGCTAAATATTGACATTGTTGAATATTTCACATATACAACTTACAATTGTCGGATACGACTTCATGGATTTAAAACAAACTTGGTAGAAAGACAATACTCAGTGTCCCAATGTACGTTATTTTTTGTTCTTGATCAAGTTATTTATACCAGTCTGATATTATGTAATGAAATATGATGTGTCGGGACACACATCGTGCTTCAAGGAACATCTACATTTCTTGTTCTGTTGTTTTCCGATCTTACATTACGACAATTGTGGTCCGGTACTAGATAAATCTTTATACGACACACACTGTGTGTGTGTATATATATATATATATATATATATATATATATATATATATATATATATATATATATATATATATATATATATATATATATATATATAGTGGGGTCTATATAGATGCAGAGGATTTGGCAAGTTATTAATTTACTTATTTATTTACTCACTCACTACCCAGGGTAGATATAGGAATGATCACAGAATGCAAGATACAGCGGCGACAGTAAATCAACAAAACCGTCATGCATTATTATGGCGGCGTGACAAGAAACAAAGTTATATATACATCCATATAAATATTGTATACTCTTCACTTTTATTTTTATTGAATTATCAATTATTCATCAATTCTAATTCGACCATGTTCAAGTTTTCGCGGAGTGATTTCTCTTCACTTTTCCACCATAGTGTTGCCATAAAAATACAATACCACAGAAGAAAGGAGGTGGGTACTATGGCGATGGACATGACGATGTTTGCACCAGGAATGTCTAAAAGA